TCACATTAAGTGCTCAGTAAGTGGCAGGGACAGCTGTCTCCTTGATTAGCTGCTCCCTGGGACCCAATAGGGCCCATACGTGGAAGATTCCCTCTCTTGGGGCCAGATTTGCACCTACAAATGCAGGGGGTTTTGGCAAAGAAACCAACCCTTGAACCTGGGCTTCCTCATGACTTCCAAAAGCCAACCCGGTTCTTAGCTGGCTGTCCCCACCTCCCTGTGGGATATGGAAGCAGCTGTTTTTCTGCCAGCTGGCAGTATATGATGCTGGTCAGAAGGCTCCAGAAGCCACCACAGTGAAGTTAAGATGCCTGCAGTCTACCTGGTTATGGGCTGTGTCTGCCGCTGGGATGAAAGCTTCAGGAAACCCAGATCTCTGTTTTGCCTGCGCACTCAGAGTTGTGTGTGGCCTGCAGAAGGCCCCATGGGCTTATGAGCTCCTAATTCAGGAACGGGAAGCAGCAGAGTGGGAGGAGCTCTGGAAGCAGGCCACCTGGGTGTGAGATCCCAATTTATAGCCTCCTACCCTGTGCCACTGGGAAAGTCCCTATCCTCCCTGCTCCTCAGTCTCCATTCAATGAATGCCTATATCTGATTGTTGTATCACAGGAGCAAGTGAGGTAAGACACACACAGCACCTTGTTTAAGACAGCCACTCACTCCTTCTGGTCCCTCCACAGCATTCAGAGGAGGATGCACTTGTTCCTAGTAAAGGAAACCCAGGAATAATCTGGCCTGAGACTGAACTCTTGGATTGCAGAGTCCAGCCCAAGGCTGGGCACGCAGAAGAGGCTCTGAATATGTGGAGGAGGTCAGAGACAGACAAGGCCTTTGAGACTGCACTGAGGCTCTCTGACATCGAGGCAAGGGACTTGTTTAAGGTCTCACTAAGAGGTAGTCACAGCCCTGGGACCAACTTTGAGCTCTCCTTCCTCAGTGTAGCACCACTTTTGCAAGGCAAAGCGTCTGTCCCCAAGGCTGATCAGTACACATCATGGGAGGAGGTGGGTAGGGAGATTCCAACTAGGGTTTCTTTTTCCAAAGAACAGGGGCAGATGGAATGGGGTTAGTACTTTCCTAGCCATTCAAATATCCACATACTGTTACACTAGGGCAGGCCACTTCCCTCTCTCTGCCTTCACTTGCTTTTTGAGGTGGGAAGGAGAGAGGTTGATTTTGGTCATTCTGTAGGTGGAAAGCACACTGAACTTGTGGTTACCCAAATGGAAACCCTAGATGTAATTCCACATCTTCTTTATGGCCATCCTTCCTCATGTCATTGGATTTCTTAGATTTCTTAATCTATAACGAAGGAGAACGATAAGAATAGCCCCTCCCTTCTAGCAATAGAGTGGCTGATAAGCTCCCAACGACTGGGCATGCCAATTCACTGTGACCTTCAGGTGAGTCATTTAGTAAGTTTAAGTGGCTGAACACAGAAAGTGAATAAAGAATACAGTCCCTTTTTTTCCTCCAATGGTTCATTTAATGCCCTTAACATTCCCATTTTGTCCAGGAGCTGCCTTATAAATGGAATAAACAGGTGGCTGCTCAGGGTTGAAGTAATATTTGCAACTTCCAGCCGGCTATAGACTGATACAGAGATGACATGTGACATACATACCGAGGCCCAACTCCATGCAGGCTTCAGAGTGCTACCAACATGCAGAGTTAATGCCTCGGAGTGTCTCACACTAGCAATCAACTGATCTACAGATTTGGGGAGTGGAGTCAGTATCTCAACTTCAAAGAGAAGGGCCCACTGCTATGTCTCCTGTTAAAACTCCACACAGTAATTGTGGAGACTGAATGTGTTATTAACTTTGGATAGATGCTCACATGTTTCAAAGGTAAAACTTCTTTTCTCTCCTATCAGAAGAGTCACTAAGCAGTTATGCTCCTGAATGGATGAACAAACGGTGCTAAAAAAGGTATGTGCACTGCTGAGGTTTCTTATAAGGACTGCTGCCTTCTAGATTAGCTTTTCTTTTTTTTCTTTTTCTTTTTTGAGACAGCATCTCACTATGCAGTTTAAACTGGTCTTGAGCTCACTTTATAGCCTGAGCTGGTCTCGAACTTGCAACCATCCTCCTGCCTCTGTCTCCCAAGTGCTGGGATTACAGGCATGTGCCACCATGCCCAGGTTATAATTGCTTCCCAGTGTGTTTAGAGCTATGAGGTGGCAGAGTATGGTGGTGAGGATAGTGGGGTTTGAGATGTGCCGCATCTTAGATCTGTGACTTTGGTCATGTTGCTTAACCTTTCAGAGCCTCCTTTTCCTGGAGATAGTAATAGCCTCTTCCTCCTATGAAGGTTAGAGGAAGTAGTGTCCTCTTAGCCCTTCGCAAATTCCTAGCACCTACTCAATGCTCAGTAAATGTGGCTATTCTCACTCATGGTCCATGGGAACTTGTTCTCATGAAGGGCAGATGAAAGACTGATACCCCGTGTCCTAAGCTCTGCTCTGAGGCTAAGAATAGCTGTCACATCAGATGCACATTTTCCTGCAAAGGGTTTCTCAGTTATTTGCATGTAAGTCCTAGAGCTGTTTAGAAAGAACTCTCCTCTGGGACTGATAGAATTTTAAAACTTTGCTTTGAGGCATGGGTGTTTTGTTAGGCTGTTTTTGAGGAAGGAATAAGAGAACTAGTTAAGTTGAATGCCTGAAGCAGATCTCCATGTAAAGGCTGCTTTCAGGGTGACAGGGAGTGATGCAAGCAGTGTGATTCCAGATGCCCGTGGTTTCCTGGGACCAGGGTGCACGGTGTTATCCTGGATGTTACAAAGTGTCAGAACCAGAGCAAACAATGGAGGTATCTGAGACCTAGCCAAGGCCACAGCCAGGAAATGCAAGCCCAGCTCCTGCAAAGGATCTCATTCTGCTGTGAGCATTCCAGGTCCTGCAGTAACTTATCTGGACAGCAGGTTTTTTGGCAAACTCACAGGCAAGTCCACTTTTAATATGACAGCCTCAGTGCCTCTGTCTATAAACACCTAGCTGTCAAGATCCCCAGTGTGCACAGCACAGTTTGATGTTAGCATGACTGATGCTATGGAGACTGACCAGCCACTGAAATTCAGCCACGATCATACCACACTAAGTGCCAGTGCTCGATGATGGTAGCAACAAGCACCTGTCAGGCCCAGGCAAAGGAGTGGGCTCTGTCAATATCATCCCTTTCTGAGACCATATGTGTCTTCCAAGAAGACAGATGCAGTGTCAACTGTGAGGAAGATTCATCGGAGGGAGCTGTTCTTCTGAGCCTGAGGCATATTGTTTTTGGATTTCCCTCAACTGAGGCTAACCCACTGGTCTTCTAGGACAGCTTGGCATTTGGAGACTAGCCACACTGCTCAGAGCCAAGGGCAGTGAACAAGGTATGCCGTGGGAGAGGAGGTAGGGCTGATTCCTATCAAGTCCAAAGTGTGACTCTAAGCAATAGATATGGGTTTTTGGCAAAGCTCACTAAGGGGACTAAAGGCCATCTTCCAGGAGATGGTAAACCTGCAAATGGCATGAAAAATAAGAGCTTTCTAGAGTGAGGGCATGGATGGCTGCTCTAGAGACCTATTCATAGGCCAATGCTCCCCCAGAATGCGTGCATTTCAGTCTACATTGATCTCAGCCAGATGAGATACTTACCAGTTACACTTTCTCCAAGAGTGTCAGCGCAGTGGGTAAGGAGTAGGGGAAGAAGACCCTTGCAACTACAACCCGCCCACCTTTTTCTCCAAGATATGATCCAAGGGAATGAAATTGTGGGAAACAACAGAGGAATCTAAAGTTATATGAAACTCAACATGGAATCTGGGGACACTACCTGAGGTTTTCCTTTGCAGATTCAATTATTGACCATAAAAGTGAAGCACAAAATCAAAAAGGTCATTAGGATGGAGGTCAGAAATTCCCTTCTAGAAGATGCTTGGCTAGGGGCTGGCAGTCTGGAGCACAGGTTGGCTCAGTAGTCACTTCCTCTTTGCCATCCCATCTGACTGCCATTTCTGTGAGAGCTGGGACCCTAGTCAACAAAGTTTTATAAACTGCACAGCACTCAACTTGACGGCACATTCTCAGTCCACTGTTGACAGTGAGGGGAACAAAGAGAAGCGTGAGCCAATTAGTGCCCCTCCCACCTATGCACATGCCAGAATACTAACATAAACACAAAGTGGGTCACCCTGGGAACTGGAAAAGGCAGGCGCTCTAGTTAGGTGAAATGGCATTACTTCAGAACCCAGGGCTTCTAGTTCTATGAACAGGAAGGAAGCAGGCCCATGGCTCTATAAGAGCTATTTCCTCTTTGCTCTATTAATTTCAGAGATTAAGCAAGCCACTCCTCTGAGGGCCAAATATCCTGAGATAATGACCATTGTGTTTGCTGCAACTCCTGATAACCTGGCTAATCTTGGTAGACTGGTAATGTTGCAGGCTTCTATTGTCAAATTCAACCAACCAATGGCTCTCATGTCCCCTTCTGTCACCATTCAGGCCCCTACAACTACCACTACAATCGCCAGTGCTGAGCTTCAGACACTTGGATGATCTCTAGATTCCTAGGGAGGCAAACAGTAGTGTCAAATGAATTTTAGAAAGGAGGCTAGGGCCAGAGAGTTGAATGGAAATACTTTTCTGTGTCCTATTCTTCAGTGGCTTCTTGTTCGTGGGCATACTGGGAAGTGAACGTAATGTGCCTAGGGCTTGCCATTCTGGCTAGCTTTTATTGAGAGAAAAGGTAGGAACTTCATCATTTTTCTCATCAAAGGGGTGGACTGGACATGCAGATCAAGTCCTGGAGTATATCTGTAGCTCTTTCAGAAACCCTCAAGGGTAGGTTAGCTCATCTTCTAGATTTTCCTACATCAGATTCAAATGCTTTCTGTTTTGGGTTGGTCACCCACCATCAAGTTTGCACAGAGAACTTTCAATAACACAGCTCATGTTCAAGTTTAAGATCAGAAGCATTAAAAAACCCCCCTCCCACCATAGCCCATTTTCTGACCGATTCCTGGAGCTTTCTGGGCTCCTGACGATTTCCCACCATGGCGAAATGGGGAAGCATGCTCTTGATTACAAGCCGACTTTTCCAGTCATCCATTGTTTGACCTGCAAATTTATTCTTGATTCTCCAAGGTGCTTCCCAAACGACCTAGACACAGGGCTTAAGGAGACAAAAAGTACACTGTCTTTCAGATACAAAGATGAGACCACTGACCCCGTGAATCAGACTTTCACTCTTGAGGACAGGTTTGTGTGGAGTCAGCCACATTCCTTTTCCCACCTCTCTCCCCACCCCACCCCACCCCCATCATTGAGTACCACCGCTCCCGAGGATGGGGGGCGCTTGTGGGAGGCAGCTGGCAGTCTCCAATCATGTGCACAGCACAATTTACTGGAGAGCAGAGAGGTGGGTAGACGAATACCCACAGAGATGTGGCCAAATAACACTGGGCATGTGGGATTCCTGGGTCTGGCTTTCCTTTTGTGTGGCATGCATTCAGACACAGAGAAAGACGGTCTTTTTCTGTGACATGCAGTTCCCTTGTAGGAAAAACACAGTGGTTGCTTAGGGACCCTTCAGCTTTACTAGAGTCAGCCTTGGGATCCATAGAACGATGAAACACCAACTCTGGCCTTACCAGCACCAAGGCAGAGAACACATGCACAGTTCAGAGCCCGGCTGACACTGGAGGAAAGCAATGCGTGTTGGAAGGAGCTCATGAAACTGGTTCTCTGGCTTACGGGAAGCAGCACACTATGACCAGGTACCATGTATGCCCTCCACAGTGGATAAGCAGATATGCCAACCCTGGGAAAGTCATCCTTCCTTTTTGTTTTTCATGAGGCAGATGTGAAATTAGATCTCAGCTAAGCCATATATATATACATATATATATATAAAGTTTTATTTACCATAAACCTTCATGGCAGTTTAGCAGCAGACTCTAAAATCTCAGTGCCCAAACTTCCACTTCTAGAAAAACAGAGAAGTACCTTTCCCCATTCTCCCACTACATACAACTAACACCTCCTGATATATATAAAACAAATAGATGAAGACCCTGAAAGGCAGTGATAAGTTAGTCTGGACCAGGACCTTGGGATCTGAGGGAAAATGCAGTGGTGGGTTCCCAAGACTTTACTTTGCCTCATACACTCCAGGTATGAAGCCAAAAGAACCACTAACCCAGAATGCCAATGGGCATAGACAAAAAGTTCTCAACAAAAGCCTGCTGTTTCCAGCCAGAGGACCAGGAAAGGGACAGGCTAGCAAGATAGAAAATGTTTAAGACAAAAGTGCCCTAGTCCAGCTAAATGCCAGAAAAAACACTGCAGTCCCACTTGATCCCGGCAGCACAGACCAAGCGGGAAGCTCAGCTGCAATCCTGCGTGGCAGCAGCGAGGCCTTTCTCCCTTCCCCTCCTACAGTGACACCACCTGGAACTTTCACTCTTGCGGAGCAGTACCAATGAGCCCCACCCCCTTGATGTCAGTGAAAGTCAAATGGGGAACCTGGACTTCCATACCCACTTGACAGAAAAACCATGTCCCCCTTCCATGTCAGAGCAAGTCAGCCAGTTTTGTAACATAACATCCGAATGTCTTGATTTCAGTAAAAAAGCATTCGTCATACCCAGAATCAGGAAGATCTAAAACTGAAAGAAAAATATTATCAGCAGATGTGTCACTAAGATGATACAGATGCTAGAATTATGTGACATGAATTTAAAAATAGTAATCACTTAAATACTTTCACCAACCACTACTACCGTGCTTTATTTAAACAAAAAATAGAGAATGTCTCAGCCAAGAAATAGAATTTTCAACAAAGAATCAAATAGAACTTTTAGAACTGTATATACAATAATTGAAATAAACTCTAAAAGTGAGATGGAAAGGACACAGGAAAGAAGAAAGATAAGGCAATGAAAATTTCAGAAAGGAAATATACTGGAAAAAAATCATGGGCACAACTAGAGTTATAATCAAAAGACCTGACAGCTATGGAGTTGGAATTCCAGCAAGGACAGAAGGAGAGCACATGGAGCTGAAAAGGCACTCAAATAATGCCTAAAAACTTCCCAAGTTTGGCAAAAGACCTAACCCTGAAAACTCAAGAAATTGAGTGAAGCTTCAAAAGCGTAAGCCCAAAGAAATCTGCTTCAAGGCCCATTTTAATCCAACTTCTAAAATGTGAAGACAGTCTGGAAAGCAAGGATAGAGGAATGAGACTACCTACACGGGAAAACCAGCTTAAATGACAACAGATATCTGATCGGTAACCATGGGAAAGAGATGCAATACTTTTCAAGAGGTGAAAAAAAGAATCTTATACTTCAGCTATGGAAAGGAATCAACATATTCTTAGATGAAAGACAAAGGGAAACTAAGAGAACTTGTCAACAACAGATCTACACTATGGTAATGGTTAAAACGAGTTAGGGTTAGGGTTAGGGTTAGGGTCTTGGATATCATCAAGGAAGAAAGAAAATCAGAAATACAAAAATCACATGGCTTGATTTTCGTCTTGGTTTGAGTTTTCTAAATTATGTTTGATGGTTGAGATGCCAATTATAACACTGTCTCATATGATTCTAAATGAATGAGGAAAAGATATTTAACAGAATTTCATCAGAAACAGAGGGCGGTAAAGGATTGGAGGGAACGGTATCATTTCCATACTTCTTTCAAAGTAGTAAAATATTGATGCCAGTAGATGAGAGAGAGAGAGAGAGAGAGAGAGAGAGAGAGAGAGAGAGAGAGAGACCTAGGACAACCACTCAAAAATTATACATGAAGCAAATGGAATTCTAAAGACTGTCCAAATAACTCACAGGAAGTCAGCAAAATGAAATAGAAAAAGCATAGAGAATGAAGAGAAAACAAAAATAAACTGATAAAAACACTAACAATCAGTAAGTATAATAAGTGGAAATGTTCTAAATATACCCACTAAAAGGCAGACATTAGTAGAGAAGATAAAAACATGACCTAATGATATTTTGCTTAAAATGTAATGATTTAGAAAGACTGAAAATAAAAGGTTTGTAAAAGAGATATTGTGCATATGTTAATTTAAATAATAGCAAGGGCACTCCAGCAATATCAGATAAAGTAGACTTTAGAGCAAAGAAAATTACCAGGGACAGAGGACATTATATTATAACAAAAGAATCAGTTCACCAAGAAGGCAAAGTAACACTAAAGGTATAGTACTATGTACATCAGAGTTGCAAAATATAGGAAGCAAATGTTGTTAGATTTGAAAGAAGCAAACAAATTCACATTTCTAGCAGAACACATCAGCATTCTCTCAACAACTGATACCACACCTAGATATAAAAAATCAGCAAGATGTAGAATTCACAACAGAATTCAAAAGGACACTTCACTCAAAAACACTCCACTTGAAAACAATAACATTTATATTCTTTTCAAAAATCTAAGGTGTACCAAGATAGACATATTTTGGACCACAAAACAATCCAGAAGTATTTGACAGAATCAAAGTGGTGGTGCATGCCTATAATCCCTGCTATTTATAAGGCTGAGGCAGGAAGGTTGCCAGTTTGAGGCTTGTCTGGACAATGTAGCAAGGCTTTGTCTCAAACTAATGTAAAAAATGGGCTGGAGAAACAGCTCAGTGGTGAAGATTATTACTACAGACCGTGTAGACATGAAAAAAAAAAAGAGAATACTATGAAAAACTCTACATATATAAATAAGAATTTCTAAATGAAATTGAACAATTATTCTAAAAGCACAAATTACTACAATTACCTAATATCAAAAATCTGAGTATCATTCTGATTATGAAAAAATAGTTTTTAAAAAATCCTGAAATGAAAGCTCTAGGGCTGCCCTGATTCACTAGAGAGTGACTACCAATTGTGTAAAGATAGATTAGAATGAATGACACACAAGCTCTTTCAGAAAGGAAGGGAAGGGAACACTTCCCAGCACATTGTATCTTCCTAATATCAAAGTCCAAAAAAGACAAGTACAGACCAACCTTTGTTATAAAAATAAATGGAAGACTCCTAAACACAGTTCTAATCATTTGTAAAAAGAATTACGTATTATGATAAAGCTGGGTTTGTTCCGGGGATGCAAGGCTGCCTCAGTATTCAAAAGTCAGACCACGTTATACACTTTATTAATAGGCAAAAATCATGTGATCCCCTCAAAATAATACTGCAAAGTAGGAAAAAGTTAGAAAACTCATACTTCTGGATATCAAAACTTACTCAAAGCTACTGTAATCAAAGCAGTGTAATACGGATAAGACTGGACATATGGGTCAATGCCATAAACTTGAGAATTCAGAAATAAACCCACACATTTATGGCCAAATGACCTTTGACACGATGTTAGGATCACTTGTGTGGGGAAAAAAAAAGTCTGTATGTGATAACTAGTTATCTATATACATGAAAATGAAGTTGGACCTCTGACTCAAAAATCAGCTCAAAATGGGCCAACAATCTAAACATGAAAACTAAAATGAAAAAGCTTAATAAAATACAAATAAATCATGACTTTGGATTTAACAAATTAGTAAGGATCTAATATCCAAATTACACAAAGAACTCTTAGAATTTGTTGTGGTTCATAGGTGGGTTTTTCAGAGCTGGCTGGATCTAGGGTGTGTGATACTGAGATTTAGGGTGTGTGGTACATTAGTCCACAGATTGGAATTAGCATAGTTTTGGGTGAGGCTGAATGGATTTACTGAAAACAGAAGCTTCACCCTGGATGTGGATGGCACCACCTAAAGGGTTTTCAGCCTCAAAGGGATAAAAGGCAAAAACAGACCCACTACTGCTTTTGCTGCATGCTGCCTTCTGCCTGCCACACCATGAACTATTTCTCTTCTGCAATGCTCCTCCGCCATGTCAATCTGCTTTGGAGCCAGGTGACTATAGACTGAAACCTCTACATACTAAGCCAACTAAACCTTTCCTCCTGTAACTGTGGGTGTTGGGTATTTTGGTTTAGCAGTGAGCAAGTAAGCCAGAATTCAACAATTAAAAAAATGAACAAAGGGTTCAAATAGATACTGTATGCTTGCAAAGAAGATATTGAGTGGCCAGTAAGCATACACAAGAGTGCTCAGCACCAGTAGTCATTAGGGAAATGCAAATAAAAAATACCACCTCA